AAATATTAGTATTTTGGCTTTTGTGAAAGAGGGCTTTCTGACTTCATCTTAAAAGGGCGAACTTTCCTCCTGAGACGTTCACATCATAAACCTACTACTGGATATATGAAACGTACACAGCCTCGGTAGATCATACCAGCATACATGTACCAGCATCCTGTTGCTCATGGGGTTTAAAACGTGGGGAACGTCAGTTGGGAATGTATAATGTACAAGACCAGATGTTCTTTTGACCCATAGTTTTAGTCAGTAGAATACAGAGCGAAGTCCGTACAATGCTGAATGCACTTGATAATAGTGGAGGTGTAATGTGGTTAACGTCGCGTTCAAGATTATTGCGTGTCTATAGCGACGTGCATGTGTGTGGTTGTGTGCGGTTGTGTGTGCGTGTGTGTGTGTGTGTGTGTGTGCGTGCGCGCGCGCGTGTGTGTGTGGTTGTGTGTGTGTGTGTGTGTGTGTGTGTGTGTGTGTGTGTGTGTGTGTGTGACGGCTTGTACTAGTCCGGACTGATATCGAGTTTCAGTTTGTGGCTTCTCATACTAGTCCTGACTAACAACACAAATACCCTACTCACATACAGTATACTGACTCCTAAGCAGAGTTGTTTTATTACTTTTCTGTCGAGCGCCAGGCATGGTAACAAGATAATCTTTTCACGTCTTTTGGTATAACGCGGCCGAACCACCGACCTACCGCTTTCCGGGCAGACACTCTGTCCACTAGGCCACGGAGGCGGTCGTACTTTAACGTGGTAACGTCTTGACCGTAAATGTAGTCATTTTTTGACAGCGCGGCGGATTTGAGTCACGTGGAAGATTTCAGTGTACCCGAACAGTAAAATACTAGACATGCAGTTATAGGCCCATGGGATTTGGATTCCTAGTTTCATGGTAAAGTTTTATAGGCGATCTTTGAGTTGCAGTCGCGAAAAACAGATATCATCACTTTTTGATAGTAATTCATAAAAACATGATCATGATATCGTCGGAATCGTACAATTGACTCTGCTTTCGGCAGAGATTTCTTATATTATGAATATGGAAAGGGTTTTGTCGCTTATATTTATATGTGTAACTTATGACACGATGGTACGGGCCATCATCATCTTTGTTGCTAAGTTTCCGTGAAGATTCCAACAACTTTATCAGAGAAGTGATGGTTTATCAATCTCTATATTCACCTGAATAGTTTCATGGGAATCTCTAATATTTACATATAAACTTTCAAGACAAAGACTATATAAAAACTTACTATATATGTTATTCACGTACATATTTTCATTGCAAGACTTGCACAGGAGATACAATCGCTTAAGGCGTTCAGTAGGATATGTGTAGTATCTCACAGTCAATCCGCACTAACAATTACATGCGTGCTTCGACTTGAACTAATCTATGTGTCTGGGCCGCGTAGGACGGTAAGTACAGAGTAAGTCAAAAGGGTAATTGCTCATAAATCCAAGCCAATGTCGTGTTTTTCCTTTCGATAAATCACTGTGCTCCTCTGAAACCCTCAAGTACAAGCGAGGGAGATCATCCAAAGCCTTAGAAGGGTCTTTCATGTCCCTCTCGTTTGTCTGCATTATGTGCTTAAAATAAAAGTAACAAAACCCTTTCGTAATCATAAGAAATCTATGCCAAAAGCGGAGTCCATTGTACGATTCCGACTATACCAAGCATGAAACCGGTTCTTGAGCCACGTATTCTCTTTGTTTGATATGACCTGGGCCTATTATTGTCGTATATCCTCTTTTCTGTATATCTTTCAACACTGGATTCTGACTGACCAGGACGTCTGTCTGTGTGTGTATGTGTGTGCTTGCGCGCGCGCGTGTGTGACTTGGGTGCCAGTGCGCGTGCGCGTGCGCTTGTATATCTGTTCTTTGACGCCGCACTCAGCAATATTCCAGCTTTTTGACGAAGACCTGTAAATAATCTAGTCTAGACAATCCTTTGATTGATATTGCGAGCAATGATCCACACCATCCACCGAAGCTGCCCGATCCATTAACTCGCCTCTTCCGATCATCATATGTTTCTGGAGACCTATTCTAACCTGGAGCCCCAACGCGGCATTATGTAAAACGGGATTTGCTTAACTCGGTTGATGGCGTGTCACCGAAACTCGACGGCGTGGGACGATGGGTTAATATCAATCACTGGATTGTCTGGTACAGACTCAATTATTTTACACGCCATCGTCATATAGGTGGAATATTGCGGAGTTTGGCCTTAACAAATGCAACAAATACAAAACGGGTTTAACACTGCAAAGAATACGTCATTGTCCGTTTTTGTGCGCGTCTACAGTCCAAGTTTGTAGAGTCCCAATGTATTTAATATAAGAAACAAATCATGGTCAACGTTATATCATATCCATAACAAAGAATTAGACTGTTTCATCATGTTGTAATACTACATATAGCATAAGAAAATTGGTATTTCTCTGGTAGAGATGTTCCGGACTCGGCTTACAGCTAACGTAATTGGGTGTATACATCATAGAATATAAGCGAAACATCATGAACAGATTGGGTAGTAACAACAGAAATTGGTTTCCGCGTGAAACAGACCACGTATCAAACGTGCCTGCCACATATGATCCAAATTACCAAGGGTTCTGTTTGTGCCATTGGATTCTACAGGATAGAAGAACGAAATGGCCAACAGACTTGGAGAAGGGATCGTGACAAAGAGCCATGTTCTTCAAAATACCACCAAACCCAGGCACGTTTAATGACAGGCCTATAAGACGGATCGTGCTGTCTGTGAAAGAGGAAAATTAATGCCGATTTTCTTGAATTGGGAATTGCTTTAAAAGATCATTTGTTAACTGTCCAGATCCTATTCGGGAACTATATGGTATCGACTGTACTGATATTGACGGAGATGTTACATCAGGGTGGGCTGCAGCTGTTATGATGTGACCTAACGTCTATTTCACATAAATATGTATCGAAATGTTTGACAGAATACAGTTCAATACATTCGCGAACACCTGGTATCATCACTTTTCAACATGGACAGATTATGATATAGTCGGAATCGTACTATTCACTCTGCTTTTAGCAGAGATTTCTTATGATTAGGGAAATGGTTTTGTCGCTTTTTTGGTTCTCCTTCCCGAGAGTTTCTACAACATTGTGTCATGTATTCTTATTCATATACCAAGATTCAATTATCTCGTTTGATTGCATTCCGAATGTATGACAACAAAAATTGAATCTGAACCAGAAAAATCCAAAGATTGATATAATGAGCAGCGATGCATGTCATCGTGGTTACAAAACGTGTAATCATCAAAGTCCCCATCCTGATCACTCGATCCATTAATTTGACTCTTATAGGCTGCTAGGAGCCCATTCTTACCCCGAATCTCCATGGGTAGAACAGCGAGAACGCTGTAGATACATATGTAGTATGTACATGTGTTTTAATATATATCCTTCAAAAGAATTGTCCGTGTGTAGGTACTAAGAGTGTATGTATTTATATACAATGGATACTCTTCAGATGCTTCTGTTCAGTGAAATGGTACATGCAGACTGTGTAATTGCTACCTTATACGCCACTTGGACGTCATGAAGTCGGAGAACGTGTCCTTAGTAAGAGCTAGATTACTAAACAGGCGTTTACAGACAAGCTTTACGTCGGGTGTACTAAGATTAGTTCGTCTTTAGATGTTCCTCTGAGACGAGCCTTTAATTTGAGGTAATGGCTTGATTTTTAAGGTTTAAGAAATAACTGTATGTATCTCTTAAATCATTATGTTCCGTTTCACATATATTTTTACAAAGGAATCCCACATAAACCCATTCTTTTGTGTGTGTGTGTGTGTGTGTGTGTGTGTGTGTGTGTGTGTGTGTGTGTGTGTTGCAAACGTATTAAGTATTGACATTATAACTATAAGATATGAGTTCTTAAAGTGTTGTCATTATTATCATATTATTTTGGCTTGTAGGCATTTGTGAATTTGTGCCCAATGCTGTAGGGAAAGTATAAACCGAGGATATTTGATGAAGCTGCATATAATTTGTGTATACGTTTGATATTAGCTACTTTTACTGTGTGGGTTAATTAAGTACAATCGGTTACTATGTGAAAGGCACATAGGTACGAAAGAAACTATTGAATTAAGGATCATTGTTTGTTTTTTAATGTATTACAATTAAATAAAATTATTACAATATGTAAAATGATTATCGAAGAAATGGAACTTGAGTGCCAGAGACATTTTTGCTTACATCAGCATAGATACATTTAATGATGACTAATACCAAATGTATTTAGTACAACATAACCCTCCGGAAATAATGTTTTAAGTGCATCGCTGTAAATTGCCATAATGTCAGTCTGACCTAACAGATTCTGCAGATTAAGTCTAAAATCTGATCCCAGATTTTGCAACTTCTCAAGCCTGTAAATTGTTGTGTAACGCCACACTGGGTAATATTCCTGCCCAGGACCAGACAATCCAGTGATTGACATGGAAATTGGGATACCGTGACATGCAAATACAATTAACCACGTCAGCGAGCATGCCCACTCTTTTAATCGCCTCTAGCGACAAGCATAATGTTGTCGGGAACCGATTTTCTTACCCGAAACCCCCATAGTTAAGCCAGCAAAGGAATACTAACTTGAATCCAGTGAAAAATATACCTGTCATCTGGGGGAGGTAACAGTAAATACTCACGCCAGAGCTTGACGGTATTCATAATTGGCACACGTACAGCGCATCGAAAATCGATAGTATGCAATATCTATATTTTAATTGGAGATTGTATATCCTAAAAACATCAAAATATGGGTGATCATGTCAAATTAGACAAGGATAAGCTAAGAACACTTGTATTTCATTACATGTGTTGGTTAACCATAATAGCTCTCTGAAACAATTTACATGCACATTGCAGAATTCATGGTTCTGCAATAACCGGTTGTCATGCTTAAATAACGGCTTGCATGGTGACAGTAGTTATATTAAACACCGGTACTTACTTGCTGAAGCCAGCTGGAAGTTATCCGATATATCTATCAAATCCACTGTGACATTAAACTGGAAATACTGCTCTCTGTCTTCATTCGCAGCATGTTGTTCAACGGCGTAGTCAAACGCTCGTTTGGAGATCAGGTCATTTTTGTCAAATATAGCACCTGTTAGGGAAAATAATACGAGAATAATTGATGTGGAGAGACATGAGGTTGGTCTCGTGGAATATCATCTCTTTCATCTTCTGAAAAGGACGGTTTGTCACTTTTATCATGGGCAACGGCATATCGGAAATATCAATGTTTTCACCTCGTTAGAGGAGAAAGTAACAATACCCCGAAGAACAGACACGGTGTTATTAAAGTAAAACGACTACCACTGAACCTGAAGGCATAAAGGTCACTGTAGCCTTCACTACATAAGGTTTAAGGGCATTCCTGATCAGCATTTAATTGCATGCAAAGCCAAGGAATATTTTGCACATGGCATTACCATCAGTTTTCATTGTTATAATCTGCAATGGTGTCTATTGTGCATGTTTAGCTTTCTAATACCTTACCTCTAACACACATAAAAGTGTTTTATTAATGTTTCATGTTTGTGAATGCATCACATATTATGATGATTATGACATAGTCGGATTTCTACAATGGGATTTTAGTAGGATTTCTGATGGTTATGGAAATAAATGTGTCGCTTTTATTGATATAACTTGAGGGATATTTCACAACGGTGGGTGGGCTACACGTTGAAATATCAGTCAGTATGAAAATACTTCCTGTTACCAAAATATATAGCGTTTGTATTGTTATGATATTTAATGTTCGTCGTTTATGTGTAAAATGCATACATGTCTTGTGGGACAAGAAATGAAAGATCATTTCCGAGTTTGAATGAGGCTAAATTAAGAAGGCATTTACTGTTACTACTGGAACCAGACTTGTACTGACTGTCTTGGTACCATCATTACGTAACAAAAATCAGAAAGTTTCAATGTAGATAAGTAACAGATCTACATAGTTGACAAATCATCTGAAAGTATTCTCTTCTGTTCGCCAAATCTATCCTCATTTACGTTAAACCTCATTACATTAAATAAGTCACATGTCACGTTGTCATGGGGATAACGTTATTCCATTATCCCAATTACGCCACGTGGAAAGACAGTGCCAAACACTGAATCAACACAACACATGCCACACGAGGGAGAAAGGAGAACTGGACATTTCTGTTATTTTTGAGTCCTTAATTAATTCAAACAGAAAGAATGATCCACGTCTGTTTGATCATATTTAAGAATAAAATAATATAATGGATAACTATAGTTGGGAAAATACAAAAGTAAGCATACAAACGTCTATATGCTTGGGTTTTGAAATCGTTTCTAAACGACACATTTGCATGGGAATAATTAAAGTTGTTCAACAGTATCGGCTAGAACCTAACGTGTAGCCCTTTACTTTCGTTATGGTTTACGTTGACGTTTAAGAAAACGACAACATGGTACAAAGACATTACCATTGACGTCATGTGAGACAAAAACATGACAATGATAACTATTAAGTATGGGTCTTGTAATATTTGTAGTACGTAACAGGATTAAGTCTTGATAATGATATCTTAGACTGGTAAGCATCGAAATCATTGAAACATTGATCATATACTCTTTCGTATCTTGAAACATGGTACAAACATCTTGGTATGCAACATTGGCAAGCATAGAACTGTATGACGTATTTAAGGAAAAGGTTTTTATTACGTGAAGCGTGATCTAAACATTGATATGTTACACTGCAATGAATTTAACTGAATGAAACATTTACGTGAAACGTCATAGTATGGACATTGTGATTAATGCAAGTACACGTATGAAGAATTTGGCTTCCAGACTGCGTGAAGGTCAGACAAATAGTTCAGCATCGTGAAAACTTCATGAGAAAAAATAATTGTCTTGGCGTTCTGACCAGTTGCAACACAAAGGTAACGGAAAAAGCGCTAGTTTGTAATATGATCTGGTAACAGTACCCCAAACATCAGTTAATACACATGGTATGAATAATGGAGTCTCATTCTAGGCCTAAAATTAATTGCAACGCAACATATTTGCTTGATTAGAATACGATCATGTTTTGTTATTTTCCCTGAGGGGAGTACGTTGCTCAACAACAGTACCACGGAGTGTTAAGATGAAAAGAATACATTCGTGTACTGGGCATTTATGCCATAGCGTTAAAGGACTATGGCCACCTTGTTTTATGTAAAGCATCTGAACTCTCAACAGCAACCAGTGTTGTTAAATACGTACCTATTGGTATGAATCTCTGGAATGCCCACGTTACTTCTAAACACAATATCACAATTGCACAAACCGTATCCAGGCCAACGCATCTCATTCTGGTTGTTTAATTTAAATTCCTTTGCGAAAACACTTTAGATCCAAGTCATTTCCACATAACAAACACACACGTGCGTTTGGCGGTTGTCACAGTTCATTTTGCGCATGCTCATACAGCCGCTTACTGGTGACACCCTTCTTTATCTTTATTGATTTTTACGGCAAGTCGTAAAGATACAGTGCAGGCGCAGTGCTTTCCCTTACACCGCTCTCCTGCCAAGGAGGCGAGAAAACAGTTGGCAACTTGTTCACTGAGAGGACCTTTCCGGCATTTTCAGATTTTCATGGAAGGGAATAAAACTGTCTTAAATACACGAGGCAAGCAAGAAGCGAGCTGCAGCGTTTGGAGCTTGGTATGGGAACAGTAATTGATTTGGCTGGCACTCGTGGCGTTTGGAATCATGGCCAAATTCAATCAGTCATAGCATTATTCAATCTAACTCAAGAATACGTAATAAATAGCCTTAGATTGGAGGCTTCGCTTCGCAATTTCGGTTAAATTGTTTAATTTTTTACCGGTTCTAAATTTGGCATGATTAAACGTTAGTGGTTCCTTCTGAAGTCCAGTCAAACAGCCTTTTCTGGGCCGTAGTTTACCGCAGAAAATATTTAACCCTCTTCATCCCTCCTTGACTCAAGATCGATTTTCACACGACATGGCGAAAATTAGGTATATTTTATAAAGCAAATATTTAGCCGATCCTGTTGTTATCTCCCTGTGTAAAGGGTTTGTATAGTGGATGTTAGTCTGGCAGCGGAATCCCAAAATCGATTGCCTGTTCCCCTAGGGGGTGGCGGAAACACGAAATCTAATTACAGAATGCCTAGCTTTGGAGGTCAGTGTATTTATGGTCGTTATAATGGGATGTCTAGGGGCTTCAGAAAGCTTAAAGACAAGACGGACTAATTTGAAAATTTCGAGAGATACTTCAGAAAAGAATAGAGCACAAGTGAGTCAATTTCGTCTCGCATAGAAAGAATAGTCTGATATAACGTCTCTTCCACAGACCGGTTGTTATAGAAAATTGGTATTCACGGTGCCAGAGATTCTTCTCTTTGAAAAGCATGTATGCTTTGCAGCAGAAAATTGATAAAGAGGGTGATTAACGTTACCCGAATGTTTATCGTACAATGTCAACAACGGTATTGCATGTTCCTGAGTGCATATAAATGTAACGATGTGCTTATGTTTTTCAAGGAATTAAAATCTGGTCAAAATGAACAAAATATCACTGCTGAAAGATTTACGGCTGATGGTAATATGACCATATTTACTTGATATGTCAACGTTATAGGAATACAAACATGAAAAACTAATGTAGGTTCAATGCATATCATGTAACAGCTATAATAATTTAAAGAACTTATAAAATTTGTAATTTTATTTTTTCACCTGGACTCTTTTGGATTATTGTTAGCGTTATCAATTTCTGTTAATATTCTTTAAAACTCTTTGGTTTATTTTAATTAAAGTTTAACCCACTCTAAAATATGCAGAATGATTCAAAACAGATACATCTCCGCATCATTTAACACAATTGGATGTACCCGCTCTTGTAACATGTATGACATTTTGTTCAATAATTGCTGAACAGACGGATTTGACTGAAATACTTCAGGAGGATGCATCTAAGGGAGGAGCGTATACTAAATATTTCAGGGAACTGTGACGGCATGCCGAGAGGCCTACCTCAAATAGTCGTAAACGTAACGTCAGATAGCCGAGCCACAGGGAAGCGTTACAGTTACAAATATGGCCATTGATTATTGATGCTAATATGGTGTAATTGCTGGGGGCTCTCCCAACCAGCTTCGCGTGTTTGGCTAATTTTATTTGATAGCTCAAAGTAGTGTTGATGATACACAGAGAACGGATAATTTGTTAGCTAGGAAAAGACAACTCTTTGAAAATATGCCCAGAGACAAAAAAGCGCCATCTGGTTTCTGTCATCTGACGTCAATAAGATTGGTCAGGTGGTGTTTTATTCCTCCAATTCACAAATATTAGGTTGATAAGTCCACTTGCATTCAAACAAACTGCAATTAATGCAGTTCAGGGAAGGAAATATTGAACTTCAAAGCAAATACACGATCGGGACTTTCTTGAAAGAATCCGATCATATATGAAAAATGGTCAGTGGGGTAGCCTCGTTGTTAAGGCGTCTCCCCGTAACGCAAAATGCTAGAGTTCGATTCCCAACATGGGTACCATGTGTGAAGGCCATTTCTAGTGTGATACTGTTGGAATTTTGCTAAAAGTGTCGGAAAACCCAACTCACTCGGTCATATTTATAAGCTTATGATAATATATGCAGTGGATACAGTTTGCTCCTTGTAAAAAAAATCAAAACTATTCACATAAGAAGACAACAATTACAGATACGTCCTGCAGTGAATCAATAATGTTTTCAAACTTGACATCGCCATCTTGTCAGGAGAACAGACAAATGGCGCTTCGCTAATTGCTGTGTTAGTTTTTCCTACTGGACCCTCCGTCTTGGAGCCTCTAATTGTATAGGAGCAGGCACCGGAAACATCTCATCTCCGCTTCGAGGAGAAAGATCCCTTCTTCCGCATTGTCCTTGCAGTTCTTGGAATACTTCCAGGTCTAGCTTATTTGATAGCTCGGCTTGTGAGGCGATCGTTCATCATTGCTAAGCTACGCTTCCTTTTTCTTAGTGTCCAAAGGGATTGAAATTATACCAGGCGAATCTTATTTTACGCGTAAACCGAATAACGACACCCATTACCGAGACATTAGACCGGTAACAATGCCAGCTTACTCATTGTCGCTTGGGGTAAAACATTCCACGACTTCTGGTAACCATGGCAACTGCCGATTCCTTGTTTCAAGCAGTAAGGGTACGGAAAGACTTTTCCTCAGAGGTATGAGCTGTTTTTGTGGTGTAAAGTTACAAACATGAGCAAGAAAAAAATTCTGTAATTGGGTAAAGCGAAGAGACATTGGTTCATCTCATTCTCGTTGCTGCTCGGTTGCCGTATCAGGGCATTCTTACAGCACAAGATAGTGTGTCTCATATCATTTTCATGCAAATGTCAAGAAAATATATCGATTCGGGTTTGTCTTGTGTTCGCAGGAAGTGAAGGCTTTAACCTTCAAATATATTTTCGAGTAGTGTGTATGTGAGTTTGGATTATCGCCGCTTTGAACAGTTTTTCAGTTATACCACGACGTGCCAGCGTCATGTGTTAGAGAAGCTCAAAGTGACACATATGGATACTTTGGTTAAGCCCTACGAACACAACATTTAAAGCTTTACTGCATTCTTTCCATAAACGGTAACACATAATAATACTGTTATGTTTCCAAGAGTTTTTGTGTCACTTAGTGTTATCAAATACCGACCTCTAGATTAAACAGAAAAATATGTTAAGGACACCCGATCGAATGTTATTTGGTAGTTTCATGGTTTTGTTCGGTTCACGCGTGTTCTGGGTTCAAATCCTAATATGAAGCTCTCGATGGTGTAAAAGACCAGCACACACCCTCAGTAATAAAATCAGTGATGTTCTGTGTATGCGGCAGAGGTTAAGTGATTAGGCCATTATGTAGTTGAATGTAGTTATGTTGGAGAAGGCCTTTGGCATATCCGTGTGGTGGCGTCAAACACACGGAATTCTATACACGTACATTCATTGTGGACTCTGGCTTAATCACAGCTGATATTGCCGATATTATGTCTGAACTGATAATGTATTTTGGAAAATTTATGCATATAAAAAATCTGCTTAATATACAAACCGACATTTTTATCAGGTGAGATGAGATGATCAAACAACTTTTGAGCAAGAATCATATGCCGGTCTTTGAAATCTTCAGAGAGATCTTGAAAAAGCATGCTTGCGATTGTTCCTTAAAAGTTGTGAAATGTAGACCCCCAATGGCTGGAGCTGCTGAAATATTGCTCGACATAAAGGACGATTACTCAAGCTGGACGATTACTGTTGGGATTTTATTATACAATTTAAGGTCATTAATAGGTACCCATTGTTCTTTAATCCGGACATTTGTTAACGGTAACGTCCGGATTAACGGGGTTCACTGTACTTAATATCGGTTTTTCTTGTGTATACATATATGTATTTAGATGTTTCATACAACAATGAACTGAATATATGTTGTGCATTTACATGAATAATTTATCAGGGCTAGGTTCACCTCTACCATTTTTACGCTAATACACTACAGCCAATGAATAGTTTCTATTCCCTCGGGCCTAATATATGTGTCACTCTATAACAATGGAAATAGAATTGGGCATTTACGGGAGAAGGTTGTGAGTGGCGTTGTGGCTATAGTGTGTTTGTGTCCCGTCATCCAGTAGAACTTCATTAATGTCAGACAATGTTACTATGCACACTTCCAGTCCCTTCTGTTACCATGGTGTTGCTGCAATTACCTTACCTCTTCATCCTTCCACTGTGACATTATTCATGTTCGATTGGCTACAAATCGTAGAATATTTTAAAAGTGTATTGACCAATCGCTTCCTAAATGACTTACTTCCAAATAGTTATACTTTGAATGAGCTTTGAATAAGGATTCGAACAGAAACACCGATATGGATTTTGGAAAACAAGATGGAAATAATTGATTGCGGTAGATATTGGTATAATATGATTGGTAATCAATTAGAAATGCTGTAGATCGTACATATGTTGATATAATCCCAACTGTTCTCATGTTTACTGGAGTATCCACTTAACCAGAGGCGGCAACCTCTTGACGCGGAACTGGGTCATGCATCTCTAATCGATGCAAATGGTATAATATTTTATTCCGATTGTGACTTTGAAAATAAAAGCGACCAAACATTTCACATTTACATAATCATAAGAAATCACTCCTAACTCCGACTCCTAACTATGTCAAAAACATGACATTGTGTTTTTGAATCACTGTAAAAACCCGCAATAAACACCAGCAAAAATAAAACGCCAATGCCAGACGACTTTATGCCCAAACAAATTCCATTGGTCGAAAAGCAAAATAGTGATACAAATTATTTAAATGAATCACTGAATAGTAGTGATGGTTACGTATGTCCTGCTCTGCGTAGGTTTGCTTGTCACCATCAACCCTCCCTCAATAGGAGAACGCTTGCACGAGGTAGGATAGGATAAGCCTTTTTAGGGTCTACTGAAAGTGCCAAATGTTATAGGCAAAAAATAGTTAAGACAAACTTAGAAATAATCAGACCTGGTTTTTTTTCTTACACTCGCAAGTTTTGGACTTCACGACATTGTCAGATACATAAGTAATAAAGATAAAATGTGGCGATAAGCAAGTCAGTCA